TTTACACTCTTTTCAAGTAATTGTGGGTATTCTTCTTTGATACACCAAAACTCAACAAGTGATAATTTCTTAAGGATCAGAGGCAATGTCCCTTCTGAAACCCTATCAATGAACTTTTCATACAGTTTTCATTGAAATCCAATGTCTTATCATGCATGTTGAATGAAAGCTATTACCTATGCATGATTTTGTAACATCTACACACATCACTTGTAAAACATTGGCTTACTGAATTATGCAAGTCTTCCCAATGATGGCATTGCACCTCTATGTCATAATCACATTTGTCTATCGAATCAGAAAGGGTAAGTAATGCTCTCGAGTTCACAGTGGTAGACACGAGTTTCTCCAAATTTTAATTTTCATGTGAAAACTCAAATTTTATCATTGGCAACAAATACCATCAGTTATTTTCTTTGAAGTGACAGGCTCACTTTATTCCTAAGAAAATATCTGCCCAACACTGAAGTGGAAGTAACTATCTATCAGCCACTCTATAAAATAAAAATGGTATTCTAATCATTTTAAAAGTAGCAAATTTAGTCTGCAACTTAAATAATGACATGATTTTCCTCAGGGCAACCTCCACAGTTCAACACACACAGAAGTGCTTTATACATACTTAGCATTTCATCATATGAAATATTCAAAAGACATTGACACACGGGTTGAGAATTAATAAAACCAATAATTTATCTGCTTTATCAAAGACATTCTTCTTTTATTATTATTTTATTTTATGAAAGCTGGGGACAATGAAACAAGGAAGGACTTAGGGTAGAAGCAACAGGAGAGAGCCTAGATGGGGCTGCTCTGGGTCTCAAATGGGCAGATGCAGGGTAGCTGTCAGTTCTGGAAAGTCAGAGAAAAGGGGGCCTTAGAGACAGGTTGGGGGGTTAGCCTAAGGCCAAGCAGGGCTATCCATTGCTCTCCTGGTTGCAAGCCTCACCCTTAGAATTTAAGAGGTGCAAGCCTGAGAGGGAAGGCATGGCGTGCTCCCAGGAGGGAGAGCATTATCAAAGACATTCTTGAGTGAAACTGAATTAAAATGACCACTAGGTACAGTTTGGGGTCACCACCTTTATTCATGATAACATGTTAACGGATTTTCCTACCATTGTCTTTTCACTGTTGACATCACTACCAATGTCAACAGTGAAAAGGGCAAATGATCATGAAGATAGTTTTGACACAGGGGTCCTGGGAAAGTCTTGGGAAAAACCCTTGGAGTCCATAGACCACAATTTGAGAACTACTAAATTATTCTAACACAAAGCAATATGGATGATTTTAAAAGGTAATGCTGAGCAAAAATAAAAAAATAAAAAATAATATATTTTATTATTTATATATAATAAAAATAATAATATATATTATTTTTATTTATTTTTATATAAAAATAAATAAATTAATAAATAAATAATAAAAAGAGGCAGAAAAGGCTACGTAAGATTCATTCACAAACAGGCAAAACTCAACTATATAATTATTTAGGAATGTATACTTTGTTGATAAAATGCAGAGATTTTAAGATACTTCTCAGTAATTGATAGACCAAGCAAACAAAAATAAGGCTATAAAGATTTCACTAATTAAAAATCTAAGTCATATACAGACAGAATAGACCTTCAATAAAAGAATATACCTTCTTTATAAATACATATAGAACTGACAATATCTATATAAAGCAAGATTCAGCAAAAACAAAGAATGTATTAAATGGACTATATTCTTTGACTGCAATGCAATTAATTTAAAAATAATAAAAAGATAGCCCTAGCTGGTTTGGCTTAGTAGATAGAGCACCTGCCTGTGGACTGAAGGGTCCCGGATTTGATTCTGGTCAAGGGCAAGTGCCCACCCAGGTTGCAGGCTTAATCACCAGTAGGGGGATGCAGGAGGCAACCAATCAATGATTCTTTCTCATCATTGATGTTTCTCTCCCTCTCCCTTCTTCTCTGAAATCAATAAAAATATATTATAAAAATAAATAATAAAAAGATAACTTAAAAATAAACATTTAGAAGTTTTAAAAGTATACTTTTAAAAGGTTCATAGATTAAGTCAGAAATCATAATAGAAATTAGAAAATATTTAGAACTAAATAATACAAATACTACAGAACAGACTGTGCGAGGTGAGCTAAAACAATACCAGGGGATACAGTCACAGTTTTTAAATGGCTTTACTAGGGAAAAAAATTAATATTGGATGAGAAGTTGTATGTCAGGGAGATTAAGTACAAAGAAAGTATAAGGAAACTAAACCTGTGAATAACCAACTTATTGAAAATTATGGACAAGATCCTCCCAAATCCCCACTTCTGAGACCTTAAATCTTAAAAAAAAAAACAAAAAAACCAACCCTCAGATTTCCGTTTTTTAAAGACCAAGGGGATCATGGTTTGAAAGGAAACTTGGAAAGTCCCTCAGGTTATACATGAGTTGAGTGGGGAAAACCCAAACACAATAAAAGATACTTGCAAAGTTGTGGGAGTATTATAAAGCATGGCCACAAATAAAATGTCTTTTCTTTCACCCCTTCTCTTTATCCCACAATCTCTTTCCCTTTTCTAGTTCCCTCCTCTCTCCTGGTTGCAGGGACATATAGGGCCCAAAGTGGGGAACGAAGTGAAGATTGGCAGAGCGACTCTGGCTCCATTCCACATTTTGGTTGTGTCGTCACACTTCCAGGCTTTCGCAAGTCACTGCACCCGACACCATCCAAAATTGACCCACAGCTCAAATCTTTGCTCAACATTACGATCTGACCACAATCTCTTAGTTTTCCATGTTTCTCCTCTTCTTCACGGCCATTATCTTCACTCCAGACCCCTTTGACTTGTTTGACAAGAGAGAGAAGAGAAAGGAGCTGTGCCAGCAGTGGAGACACACAGTGGTCAGTCTCTCCTGCCTTCACAGACTTGGGTAAGTCTACAAATGTGGCAACACCAGGAAGACAAACAACCCAATTAAAAAATGGGCCAAGGACCTCAATAGACACTTCCCCAAAGTGGACATGAAAAAATGCTCAAAGTCACTGATCATCAGAGAGATGCAAATTAAAACGACAATGAGGTACCACCTCACACCTGTCAGAATGGCTACCATCAACAAATCAACGAATGACAAGTGTTGACAAGGATGTAGAGAAAAGGGGACCTGCTTACACTGCTGGTGGGAATGCAGACTGGTGCAGCCATTATGGAAAACAGTATGGAGTTTTCTCAAAAAATTAATTATGGAATTGTCATTTGACCCAGTGATCCCACTTCCAAGACTATATCCTAAGAAACCCAAAACCAATCAGAAAGAATGTACCCCTATGTTCATAGCAACACAATTTACAATAGCTAAGATCTGGAAACAGCCAAGTGCCCATCAGCAGACAGTGGATAGAAAGCTGTGGTACATTTATACCATGAAATACTATCAGCAGTAACAAAGAAGGATCTCTTATCCTGTAAGACAGCATGGAGGGACCTGGAGAACACTATGCTAAATGAAATAAGCCAGTCACATGATCTCACTTATATGTGGAATCTAATTTAACAAAATAAACTGATAAACAGAGTAGATCCAGAAACATGGAAGCATGGAACAGACTGTGGAATCTTGGAGGGAAGGTGGGAGAGGGTGGGTGGGAGGTGATCAACCAAAGAATTGTATGCATATTTAAGTAGATATAACCCATGGACACAGACAATAGGGTGAGGCAGGGGCATGGGTTGGAGGGGGTCAATGGGGGAAAAAGGGGGAGATATGTAATGCTTTCAATAATAAAGATTAAAAAAAATATGGCAAAACCACATAGCCAAAAATGTGGTCACTATACATATTCTGTTATTCTCTCCTCCCCACCCACCCTACCTCACAGCAGAGGTGAGTGGGAGTGGGGGGGGGGGGGAAATAAGAGAGAGACCTTTGGGCTTCATTAAAATTTCTTTGGCAAAGGTCATGAATGAGCTATTCATTTCTCAGATTTTTCCCATGGCTAGCTCCCTCCTATCAGTCAGATTTTAGCTCAAATGCTACCTTCTCAAGAGTGTTTCACTGACCTGCTGTGGAAAGTCTCCTACTTACTCTCTCCCATTTCATTTCCTTAGAGGATGTATCACGAAGGCAGGAACCTGTTCTGACCACCACACTCTCCCGGCAGGAGGTGCTCAGGACATATTCACCAAATAAATAATTCCTATAGTGGAGCTCGTTCTGATCTGTTGAAGTTCTGAATTGTGAACGAGCTTCAGTATCACACTCTTGCATAAAATTCTTTTCCAAATCCAGACCAACTTTTCTGTCTCCTCTTCATTCTAAATCTAAGTTCTATCTATACCACCTTCTTTAAATCTTTGCCAACTCCATCTACCATCCCTTCAAGCCTGTTTTGTCATTCTAGATTTTTTTCAGGCCCTGGCTTGCATTTTCCCCTCTTCCTCACCCCATATTATTTTCAATGACTTTTATATGGTCAGTGACTACAACATCTGTATGTGTCAACTGCTAACCACAGGACAACCCCAGCCTCAATCTCACCCTGAACCGTTTCCTCTTAAAAACCTCAGTCTCATCTTCCCCATTCCCTTGCACCCAGTGACCTGGTTCTTGCTCTTCACTGAAACGTCTAAGCTTGCACCAGTCCACTTTACAATTCTGGGTTTACACAGCATTTCCTACTAATTTACTGTCTGGATCCTACTATTAATGCAGCTCCTAGTCCCATAAAAACTCCCTGGTCTTTCTGCCACATGCTTCCCCTATCTTATTATATTCCAGAGCACTACCACAAAAGTCTTCACATACCACCCAGTATATTTCATTTTTAAAAAATTTAAAGCAAACCAAGCCTTAGGATAAGCAAGAGACTATCTTTAATAGAAATAACAATGTTAAACAGAGTGTGTGAATAGTCCACATTCTCATTTGATTCTGACAGTATGTAAAATTTACATTAATCCCCAGTCAGCACACTTCACGTGATTATGTAGAGGGAATACTTACATAGATAAGACCTGAATAGTAACGATCCTTCAGATTATGTAAAACAGAAGCTTCATTCAAGCACGTCAATTCTGCCATATCCTCCACCTTGGAAAACTTAGGTGGGTTCATCTTCTGAATGTCATCTTTGTTGACCATGGCTTTCTTTCCATTCTCCGCCAACTCCACCGTCACTTCATCTCCCCGCTCTTCTTTGATGCTAGCTGCCTCAAAACCATGGCGTTCGGAGGGAATCCACACCAGCTTTTTCGCCGTCCAATCAGCCTGTGTGGCAGGGTTGTAGATGACAGCCCTGTCCACAAAGAGATACCTCTCTGGATCTTCAAGTCCGCTTCTCTGTGCCATGGTAAACAGAAGGATCCAAGAGCAATCGCCTCTATGAAAAGAGGAGGAGGATAAAGTTAGATGCTTCACAATATAAAATGAGCCCTGGACGATGTTGGCTCAGTTGTTTGAGCATCATCCTCTACACTGAAAGGGCACCAGTTTACTTCCCAGTCAGGGCACGTGCCCAAGTTGTGAGTTTGATCCCCAGCAGGGAGCATGCAGGAGGCAGCTGGCCAATGTTTCTCTCCCATTGATGTTTCTCTTTCTCTCTTTTTCTCCCTTTCTCTCCCCTCTCAATAAACACACACATATATAAAATTATTTATATTTATATATAGAATTCACAAATTTTACTCCTTTGGTAAACAGAAAGCATAAACTGAGTTAAAAATCAGGGGTATTCCTGTTTATGGCCATATTAATTTAGTTTCCAAGGTAAATTTCAGGGGTGACCATAAATTAGACTCCGGTTGTCTGAAGACCACTCAAGACATGCCCTCAGTGACGGAGGGCTGGAAAACAAGCAGAAGGGAAAAGCAAAGTTCTAGTTTGACTATTCCCCCTCTTCATCTCCTCTTTCACCCTCACCGCAAATTAAACAGAGTTAACAAAGGAAAGGAGAGTAAAGAGGAAGAAAACAAAAATTCATAATAAAAAGCCCATAGAGTGGTACCAGAATTTGTTTAACCACCAGGATGTAACTACAGAACACATGAGGGATGACAGAAGAGAAAGCATCGGGTCTAAAATGAGCCTCCCATTCCATCCTCAGACAACAGACTCAAAGTTCTTCCTTACAAATACACCAAGTCACTTTCCCTATAGCTCATCTATGTCAATGTGGTCTTAATGTGATCGAGGAAGGCCACAGAGGAAAACTGTGACGCGGCTTCACGTGACAGCCTTTCAAGTATGTGACGGTAGCTATTCAGGTCTCCACTCCCATCCCTGCAGCTGCTCCTACTCCCTCCGCTCCTCTTCAGCATTCCATCGTTCATCAAGACTCATTCCACCACCCTGACTCTTGCCTCCAAACAGACTCCATGTGCTTATGCCCTTTTAGAGAGCATGACCAGAAGCAAACATACTATTCCACCTACAGTTCCACCAGCACCAAAGGAAAAGGAACTGTAGGGCCACACTAGGGAGAGCTGTTCATGTATTTGAAGACCTAATCAGTGTATCTGTCCTCATTCACTGTTGGCTCAGAATGAGCTGTCAGCCAAACCTCCATACATGCTGCTCTAAGTTACCTCCCCTCCTATACTTGTGCACTTGGCTTCTTGGATCAAACAACAAGATTTTACATTCACCACTCACCTTTCTGATGAGACTCACTTATCTCCTTTACAACATCTTTTTGGAATCCAGCACCATCATTACACACTTTTGTTATTACTCCAAGTTCCAGGTGGTTAACAACTTTCATAAGCATGGATGCCATCCATGACTTCATCCAAATCAATACAGAAGCCAACTGAGTAGCTACCCTAGCTTTATAAAATCTTTCCAACTTCTCCCAGCCCCCCAAGTGATGGGGATTCTTTATAGGCAAGTTAGAAGGCTGAAAGGTTAACCATAAAACAGTCCAAAGTAGTTAAAGAGGTTCTTAACCTTGATTCCATAGACAAATTTCAAGCTGAAATGGTATTAAAAAGTTGTACACTCACTTTATACATGTATGTACACTTTTCTAAAAAGAGTACAAACACTCACAACTTCCTTCAGATTCTGTGTCTTAAAAAATTAATCACTGATAGTGGGTGCAGATACTACCCCTTTCGCTATTGAGAATTTACTAGAATCAAATAGCTAAGATTCTTCAGAAATTATTTGTTACAAAGTAATAATGCATCACAAACATCCATGCATGGTCCTCAAACTTTGGCATGTGCACTGGCAGCACCCACACACTGGCCGGCCGCATCCCCAGAGTTTCTGATTTAGTTAAATCTGGGGCGGAGCCTAGGAACTTGCATTTTTTAAATTTCTTTTTTAAAGTCTTTAAAGAGATTGTTGTTGTTTTTTGTTTTTGTTTTGTTAATATATTTTATTGATTTTTTACAGAGAGGAAGGGAAAGAGATAGAGAGCTAGAAACGTCGATGAGAGAGAAACATCGACCAGCTGCCTCTTGCACCGGGGATGTGCCCGCAACCAATGTATTATACATGCCCTTGACCGGAATCGAACCTGGGACCTTTCCGTCCGCAGACTGACGCTCTACCTCTGAGCCAAACCAGTTTCGGCGGAACTTGCATTTGCAACAAATTCCAGATGATGCTAATGCTGCTGATCCTGGACCACACTTTGAGAATCATTGCTCCAAAGTTCTCTGGCTACCATGGTGAGCCACTGTTACTAACAGGTATTTGAGGTAAAAACAAAACAAAGTTGAAAATCAATGTTCCAGACTAATTCATACTGAGATTTAAAGACTACGTTAATGTTTTAAGGATAATAGACATGGGCAAAAAAAAATAAATAAAAAATCACAAAATAAAAAAAAGTCACAAAACATGTAACATTAAGACTTCTATTAATAAAATTGCTATCATGTTTTTTTTAAAATTTTTATTCTTTTCTTTTTTTATTAAATAATTAGCTAACATGTTTTTTAATTAGCATTTGCCTTCTTACAGGAAATATTTATGGACACATGTACAATCTAAAGAATGGTTTCAACCTTAGCTGGTTTTGCTCAGTGGATAGAGCATCAGCCTGCAGACTGAAGGGTCCCCGGTTTGATTCTGGTCAAAGGCTCATGGCGGGGTTATGGGATCAATCCTCAGTAGGAGGTGTGCAGGAAGCAGTCGACCAATGATTTTCATCACTGATATTTCTCTCTCTCTTTCCCTCTCCCTTCCTCTCTGAAATCAATAATATATATTTATTTATTTTAAAAGAATGGCTTCAAAAGACCATTACCTCTAGGGACTACTCTATAAGATCATTAACAAGTGTTCTATCTTCCCAGCTTTTATACTAAACACTATAAGGAGGAGGCATGTCTTTGAAGTGGGACTTACTCCAGATGAATTAAGAGACAATCAGACACACACTCTGATTCAAGGGCAGTCTATCCAAAGCAAAAATACCCAACTATAACAAAATATGATAAGTTATTCTTAATATTCTTTTTAGGTATTAACTGTATGTCCCATATAATACTTGGGAAACTGTCTTGCTGCCGATTGGCACACACACATTTCTTTACTTTTACCTTGGGTATGCTTAAAGTTTTTACTATAAATTAGAATAACTGATCATTTCTACAGCAGGTTATTTTTTTCAAAGTAAATTATGTATTTAAAAATTATTTTATCGAATTGTACATCTTAAATTTATTAGTACTTTTTTTTGTGTAGGGAAGTGCTTATAATAGTTCCTACCGATATAGCTAAATGATTAGAGCATCAGCCCACACACTGAAGGGTCACAGGTTTGATTCCCAGTCAGGGCACATACCTGGGTTGTAGGTTCAATCCTCAGCATAGGGAAGCAACCAATTGATGAGACTCACATCAATTTTTCTCTCCCCCAACTCCCTACCTTCCACTCTATCTAAAAGCAATGGAAAAATAGTCTCAAGTGAGAATTAATAAAACAAAAAACTCAATACATCACAAAAGTGTAATTACAAAATGTTCCTTGTTTTGTGGGTGGAAATTTAATACACACACACACACACACACACACACACACACACACTTTAAAACAAAGGGAATTCATGGGTCTTCACTGGGAAGTGGGATTACAAATTTTTACTTTTCCAGAGTTTTCAACAACTAAGACACTGTCAGGACATTTCCTATTTCTTACTATTGATATATGGTAAGCACTCAGACTAGTCCTGGATCCAAGGAGGTAATCTATACCTACTGATCAAACAGTGCATGAGTGGTCCTACCCTCATTTCTCCTCCACAACCAAACACCTACCATGCCTTCAAATCCTGGCCCAAACGACACCCTTTCAGAAGTCCTTTTCAGGTCAATCTGGCAGCTGAATCCCTCTCCTCCACCTAACATTTTGTGCTGCTCTTCTGGCATTTTTCTTGCCCTCTTGTGCATTGGCCAAGAGAGCTTAGCAGGTAGTAGGTACTCAAATCATTCTTTAATTGCTAGTGTTCATTAGGCCACTGAAGATTTTTGTTGTTGTTCATTTTAATTCTTCATTTGTGATTGCCAAATATGTTGTGTTTGTTTTCATTCCATTGTACATTTGGGACCCAATCTTGATAATACTGGTATTTAAAGTGAACCACTCCCAAATGCTTTGTCATGTGGAAAGGATAATATCACAATATTTAAAATAGCAAACGCTGTTGTTATATATCACTAATTATGGCCAGACACTATTCTAAGCAGTTTACATATATCAACTCTTAATCCTCACAAAGCCCTATGAAGTAGGTACTATTTATATCTTCATTATACAGATGAGGAACCTGAGGCACAGAGAAAGCCAAAAACCAGCCAACAAATAGCAGGGCTGGGCGCAAACCCAGAGTTCAGCTCCTGAGTTCATTCCACAACAGTGGAAGGGGAGAGGGAGGGAATTTTGAAGGGCATGATGTGCACTATAGACTGCCTCTCTACTAAATAAAAACCCTATCGATTATGGCTTCAGGAGTACAGGGTCAGCCAATAAACACACTGGCACAACCTAGGAAATGCTTTCTATTTTATAAAAAAAAACCCACAACTATACTTAGTGGAAAAATGAATAAATAGGAACCGCTTTGCAGGAGACACAAAGGTTCTTGGTGTCATTTGAAATAACTGCTTAATTATAGTTGAATCATTTATATGTGTATGAATGAACCCCTATGGCCATCATTGATTTTAGGGCACACACTCCTGGGCTCCCTCCCACTGGACCATTTTTGACTTCCAATAAAATGCCACCCGGAACATTTCTCAACTGCCGTCCAGCACGTAGCAAAGTATGGATACAGGAAAACAGTTAAATTTTATGAATATCTTTCATACGCAGCCAAACAAAAATGGATAAGTTT